TTAAAGCTCAAGAATTTATTAGTTAATTATATATAAAGTGCTGTTATATACTTATGTTTCTATAGCCTATGTTGATTCCTCCTCCCATTGTTTTTATTTAATACATGTTTAATTAAGTACTTATTTTATTATTTTCATACACTTAATAAATAATACCTAAGTAATATGCATATTAATTTTTGTTTCAGATTCTTAGTCGTGATTTTAAAGTGCTTAAGGAAGAAAAATCTTTTGCTCGTTACATGTATTTATTGAGCAGTGAAATCTCCAATAAACATGAAAAACGATCGGTTTTTACTGTACAACCTATGGAAGCACTTAGAGGAGCTAGCATTTCCATTCCAAGAACCAAATTTAATCGAAACTATAGTATTAAACCCTATGATAACAATATGCCCTTTAGAATAAATTTTAATTCTAAAACTGTACCAGTTATCATGAATCTTATTTCATTCAAAGCATTTGGTCAACTTGAGGTATATTTTTATATAGTTACTAGTTCCATATAAGATTTTTGGAAAAAAATTAATCTTTCACAAATTTAATATGTACATTAATAATTGTATGTTTAGAATAAACGATGTGTTTCGGAATCCATTAGTAAATTAAGAAAAATACCTCGCACTAATTATTCTGATGATGTAAAAACTAGTATTATACACAGTAAGTACTATTATTTAAAAAAAATTTTAATTTTGTAACTTTCCAAATTTCATCCAAGTGTTGCCACATCTACCTTCAAACTAGACAATGAGATTTAAAAGTATTATATTGAGTAGTGCATGACACATACCCACCTTTCAGCAGAATTTGTAATAAAGTAACTGGTAAATGAAAACTGAATGAATTTTAACAACCATTATCTTTCATTACTTCATTGGAAATTAAAATTACACATCCCGATTAGTGGCCAGCAAATGTTCAACAAATCTCCCCCCACCATAAAATATTACTTGTGCACTGTATAAAAAAATTTTAATTTTCAAACTATAGCAAATTCACTTTTTTCACTTTTTTTGAATTAGGAAATATTTTGCTCCTATGTTTTCAGTGGCTGAATAATGTATAATAATATAATCAATAGAGAATTACATGATTTAAAAAAAAAAAATTAGATTTAGTTCTGCTTGGTAGTATAGTTTAAACTAGGCAATATCTTTTATGTAATTGAATATTAGCTTTAGTATATGTATAATAAGACAAATACATACTATTAAAATACGAGGTTTAAATATATAAAATTTGAAAATGTATATTATTTTTAGATAATGAAGAATCTGACGATATGGAAGAAATTATTGTACTGAATAAAGAAGGTAAACAGGTGGAAAAAAATATTAGTAAGTAATCCCATATAGCATTATGATTATATACTTTAATTATTTTTTTTTTTTATGCGCAATTTTCTCTTTTTTTATGAGCATATTTTGATTATTTTAGCTTCTTTAATAGTTATAACTGTTTGCTTATAACTATATAACATGCTGAACAATTTAAATACTATTTTATTTTAAAATTACATGATACATAAAAAAGTTCTATATTTAGTACATTAATATTTATTTAATGAATTTTATTAAATGTCTGTAGCTTTTCTAAATATCTGTATAATATACAGATTATATTATAATCTATGACTTACTCTGCAATGTATGAAAATAGTTTAGTTTATCAGCTACCCACAGAAATATAACTTGAAGGGGGCAAACAAAAAATATTTTATCCTTCCATAGATAACATATATTAAGTATATCTTCTAAAGTGGGAGAGCACTGCTCCATCACGCCCTTTTCCCCTGCAGAAACCTTTGCACTGATCCATCAGAATCCATTAAAATTAATTTCAAGACCGTATTTACTTTTATTATTTTTCTTTTTATTGATCCTTAAGCCCGGCAACTATGGCCATTAGCAGTTTATAGGGTAATTGTGGTAGTGGTAGGGTTTGGTATGGTGGGTTTTTAACACATGTGTTTGTTTGGGCCAGAGTTTTTATTGGGCACCCTTAAGTTTTGGCCATGCCTGATTGGTGGATGGCGGCCTCTCTCCAGGCAGATCTCTGCCTAGAGAAAAGTACCGCCCATGTCCGAGGTTTAAACCGACAACGGTGCACTTTGCTACTAACGCCTTAATCCGCTCGGCCACTCCATCCCCCTTTTTTATTGTAGAAATTACTAATGAATACATAAGTTTTCAATTTTAAGCTGTATGCAAAGAATGCCAGTGTGTGATATATTATAATTATTTTTAATGAAAAAATATACTATTTATACGATTATTAAAAAGCTTCAAATACTTATTTTTATTTTGTAGATTGTGATACATTAGATGATAATGGAACTAAGTCCTATGCTAGAGGTATGGTATCAAATACGAATTTAATACTTTATTTTTATTTACACAAAATATAATTTATTTATAGTCATTATTTAAATTTATTTTAGTTTCTCCACGCTATGATCCAATCTTCAGGTTGAGCCCACCTCCATCAGTAAATACTTTTCCATGTTTAATTGACCCTTCTGAAGGTGCATTTGAAGCTTTCGATATTAAGCCCAAGTAATGAAAGTTAATATCTATTCAACAAATGTTTCCAAATATTGATTACATCACTTGAATGTTTTAATTAATATACCATGTTAATAAATTACCAAGATATTGTATTTTTAATTTAGTTGTGTATTTTATTTTGTATTATTGCTTTTCTTCATGTCTTATGTGATAATGAAAATAATACTAAAGGTACCTACTACTTTTATGACAGGCATCAAAAATATTTTTAAAGTGGCTTTCTAGCCGTTTTTAGTAGATTTCTATCATTTTTTTAGGATAAGTTATTTACTTATCTGCCTAATGGCTATTATAACTTATTGCTTATAATAATGGTTCCCAACACGGTTTACGCAAGATAAAGTAAATTTTTGTTCATTAAATAAGTAAAATACTAAATTTTTTTATTACAAAATTAATACATTATTTCATTATATTACATTATTGTTATTTCTTATAAGATGTGTGTTAGTATGTGAAGAAAAAGTTATAAAGAAAAACACAAACTAGCAAAATATTTAGGTGAGGGACATGGAAGAAGTGAATGGTTAGGAACTGCTAACTAATAATTTGGTCTACACACTATACAGTACCGCACAATAACCCACTGCAGCCTCAGAAACAATGTCTGTTTAAAAAAAATTATATTTTTTTATGTAAATAGATTTACATAGTAAGGTATATGTCCTAATGTCCTATGACACAAATAAAGATTTACCTTAAGGTTAAGAGGACGCCTCACTGTCATTTTTTGTCTACATACTACAAACGTACATGCCAAATCGTATGTTCATAGAAATACATTTTAGTAATTTCTTAAAATTGCAGTGAAATTACCTCTTATAAAATTTAAATGTAAGAATCTGGGGCATTTCGGAGGAATTTATTGATATTATTTTTAAGTAAATTATGATCATTTCAAAATGTACAAATAATTCTTAACCAATATTCATTTAATTTTGGAGAGGAAATTTTTTTTCTTTTTTTATTAGAACAAACAAGATTAAACCGTAATAAAAATATTTACAATAGGTAATATAGGGGGAGGGGAGTGCAAATATACAAGACTGGAAGACATGATGGTAGGGGGGTCCAAATAGTCCAATGACCCTCTTCATTATTCTAGGCTGTTTATTTTTTTTAAATGTTGAGGTCCATGGGCCAATTAAGCTTAAGACAGCGAGGAGGGTTATTAAGAAGTGTAATGTAGGATAGGTTTGAAATTAGGGGATTTGATTAGTTGAATGTGTTTTTGTGAAATTATGTATAATAGTGTGGGGCTAATAAATGAGTGGTTGGGATTTTGAGGTCAGAGTGAGGGAAGAGATTGCTGATGTACGAGGAGGCATTTATAATGCAGTTGAAAACGTTTGATAACAGAGAAATTCAGACTTACATAGACCTCAAAGCATAACCCTTAGCATGACTAAATTAAATTAGTCATGGACCTTACTTTATGTTCAATGCAATAATGTAAATGTATCATTAAATCATCACTGAGTGAACGGAAGAATTGAGATGTTGCACTCGAGTGATTCACTCAAAAAAATCTGAAGATAATTTTGTACCTATATTTCTCTCAGAAGTACATGTCAAATAATCCCTTAAATATTCTGATGTCTTGTGGAAATAACCAAATTTTTAATACACTATTTAAGTATCATTTAACACTGGTTGTTACATAATTTTCTCTAATATTATTTTGTTCAGATAACTCCACTCAGTCCCCCACTTAAAGGTTTTATATCTATGTAATCATTAATTTGTATAATTATTTTATTCCTTATTTCCTTGTATTGTACTACTCATATTGAAATACATATTTGAAAAATGTGTTAGTTGTCAAATATTACTATACTATTATTGTTATCGTTATTCTACACCTACTACCTACAATTGGCTACGGAATCACTAACTACAACAATTCACATAATTCAGAACTTGGTAGCAGCGATTGAATTGGGACAACCAATAGATAAGGCATGCAATTGTGCAAGTATAAAAAATAAAAACTTGTGTACCGAGGGGCCGAAGGGGTACGCTAAAATATTTTTTAAAAACTTGTAGTTCACTAGTCCGTCCCTTTATGACCTCATCCAATTGAAGCATTGCTTGGTAGAGGGCAGACTAAATAGATCATTAATAAATCAGTATTAAAACATTTTTCTGAAAGTATTATGACGTATACAATCAACTTCAATGTAATACACTAATACATAAAATAAACTGAATAAAGATGTAATGTATAAAAATAGTATTGCTATTTGACATTCGGTATCCATTTTGAAAAAAAAAATGTCAAAAAAATGATTACCAAGGTTACAAACCTACTAGTTTACCACTTACCAAGTACCAACGTATTTTTTATTCGATTATTTCAACTGATTTCGATACAGAAACATTTTAGAATTTTGCCAACAATCGAAATAATCGCTTACATCAAACAATCGAGAATTTCAAGCATTTTCTCTCGATTGTTCCCATCACCAGATATCGTTCATCGTTGCAGTTGCAGCTTTGAAGTTTGAATAATGTTAATTGTTGATAGAAGAATAGAAGATTTTAAGATTCTGTGTCTTGCCGCTGTTTCTGCGATTATTACTTAATACTTATTAGTTCAGTGATTTGTGAATTTTAGGGAGTAACGTAAGATAACATAAAGTAAACTTAATAATCAATAGAACTTATAGAACATAATTATTATACATTGTATTAATTAATAATAAAAATAAAAAGTGTGTCCGTGTCAAACATGAGTTTCAATTTCGGGACACCCAAAACCACAAATCAGCCTTCAATGTTTACGATGACTGCACCTGCCCCTTCGTGTAAGTTGATAGTTGATTATTAATTAGACTCAGTGGCGGCACATGGAAGTTTGTAAAACAAACTTCGTAGGTTGCTACTTTGCAAGGTAGGTAGATCTTTAAATGTTATTTGTGTTAATGTTAACTCCCCTCCTGATAATTGTTTATAATTTCAAGGAAATCCTAGTCAATCGTCCCCTGATAATTTTTACTTTTTAGCGATGGCAGATAATTGCCACTCAGTACGAGTACATTATGACAAGCATATAATAAAGTTATAACTACTTGAAATCGAGTTTCCCAAATTTGTGATTTCAACTTCTCCAAAAATAGGGAATGATATAAAAATATGGGAAAGTCGATTTCAAGTAGTCGGAATGACAAATTTAAATCTGTTTTTAGAATTCTTATCTCTTCATTTCATCAACTGTTTGGCAAAGGACATGTCTAAAGTCCTATGATGCTAGTGTGTTAGACGTCGACACAAAATCACGGAAATGAACCCCCTTAAATCTTTTTTTAGACTTGGATAAATCAAAATTTTCGAAAAAGTCATCTACTTAATAATTGACAGTTAAAAGTTTGGTTCTCATGTAATATAATGTATACATTTATATTTTCACGGGACACTCCTTTAGGCTTAAATGCTACAAAAAAGTCTCTATAATTTAATATTTGGGTCTTAAGTAAGAATGCCTAAAATCAGAATTTGAATAACACCTTTTAATTTGGCTAACATTTTGTCTAAAACAGGAGTTCAATAACTTAAAGTTGAGAAACAGGCATTGCTAGTTTAGTAAAATTAGTTGGTATTTAAATTGCAATAGCTGTTACTCCTTTATTACACGTATAGTGTGCAATATTATGTTTTGTTATTGCAATTGATTTATTAGCCAAGCTGTATTAAATAAATAATTAAAATTATTTTGGTATCTCGGCAGATAGCATCATAGGTTTTGCTTTATCAGCAACGCTTAATTTTCAAGCTTTTATTGTTTTTCACTAAGCATAACTTAACTGTTTTATTATTTAGGGGGATCAACTCAAGCTCCAGCTGGTTTTTCCTTAGGGAGTAATGCCCAACCAACTTCTACTGGTTTCTCATTAGGTGGTACCACACAAGCAACAACTGGTTTTTCATTAGGTAGTACCACACAAGCATCAACTGGTTTCTCGTTGGGTGTTACAAACCCACCATCTAGTGGCTTCTCTTTGGGAACAACTTCAGCAACTACTGGATTCTCATTAGCTACAACTCAAGCATCTAATGCTTTCTCATTGGGCACAAATCAAACATCAACTGCTTTCTCTTTGGGTGCAACTCCAACTGTTTCTACTGGTTTCTCATTAGCTAGTACCACCCAAGCATCTGCTGGTTTCTCAATGGGTACCACACAAGCATCTACTGGTTTTTCATTGACCACTACTCAAGCATCTGCTGCCTTACCACTGGCTACAGCTCAAGTATCAAATGCTTTCTCATTGGGGACAGCCCAAGCATCTACTGCTTTCTCTTTGGGTACAACTCCAGCAGTTTCTACCAGTTTCTCATTAGCTGGTACCACTCAAGCATCTACTGGTTTCTCAATGGGTACCACACAAGCATCTACTGGTTTTTCATTGACCACAACTCAAGCTTCTACTGGGTTCTCATTAGCCACAACAAAAGCATCAACAGGTTTCTCTTTGGGTACATCTACAGCAGTTCCTACTGGTTTCTCATTAGGTACAACAAGCAATACTGGATTTTCATTGAGCTCTTCTGGAACAACCACAGCCCAAGCTACTACAATACAAACAACTGCAGCAATTACTGCACAAGCTCCTCCTGTTACATCTCAGTATGTATAAAATTCAATATTTCAATTACAATTTACAGTAATAATAACAAAATACATTTCTATAACAGATCAGATAGTCAATCCAGTGCAGTTCAACCGACTAATTTCCAACAGCTTATTGATTTAATTAATAACTGGACTGTCAGTTTAGAAAATCAAGAAAAACAATTTCTTAATCAAGCAAATGAAATAACTGTTTGGGATAATATGTTAACAAATCAATCTACTAAAGTAATTTGTATAATAAATAATTAAAAATATTAATTAATCATAACAATTAATTTGTAGTTGGTAAAACTGTATGATATTCTGGAGCAAAAAGAAAAAGAACAGGTGGATATTGAAAATGAACTTGACTTCTTGTTATCCCAACAAAAAGAACTCGAAGATTGTTTAGTTCCACTAGAACAAGAATTACAATCTGCTGAAGTATTAAGTAGCTTGAATAATGAAAGAGAACCAATGTATGTCATTTAAAATGATTGGTATTACTATCATTTTTAGTTATTTTTAACCAAAACCTATTTTATTTAGATATAAAGCTGCTCAAGAAATCGATAACCAAGTAAAACAAATGTCTGGAGATATAAAAGAAATAGTAAACAATTTAAACAAAGCCAACTCCAAAAAAGATTCTGATGATGATGTAAGTATTATAATAAATTAATTAATATAAATAAAAAAATCACATGAAAAATATATTTGTACAATGATTGATTTAACTTTTGTTTCAGTTGGATACTATTTGTCGAATATTAAATTGTCATATGACAGCATTACAGTACATAGAGCACAATGCAGAAAATTTAAGTTCAATGGTATCTGAAGTGAATGAAGAACATTCCCGCTTCTTAACAGCTGCTAATGATAATTCTTTTATGTCTTTTAGAAAATAAATAATAATATTATAAAATCGATGTGATATTTTAATGAAATATTGCTTCAGTAAATTATCTTAATACATTGTTATGTGTAATCGTTAAACAGTAAAATATTATGTAAAATATGAAAGGATATAAACATGTATTAAATAAACATGAAATGTGTGTTTGTAATAACTAATAAAAAAGTGGCAAGTTATCATTTGTACTATTAGTATTTCGTATAATATAAATGCTTATGTAATGACTTAGATTTTTAACCAAATATTGGTGATATGATATACCTATCTTGAATTTATAGGTTCAAGGGGTACAATAGAACTTTTTGGATGTTTAGTCTAATTCATTTATCAATACACTTACATTATCTTGAACTGCATTTCCTATAGTAAAAATAGTATTGAAAGTATTCTAAATCAACACTTGAAGAATATTGATTGCAAATATTAAACATTAAATTGTTTTCTTATTTGTATCTATTGGGTGGACAATTCAATTGATACATTAAACATCTAAAATAAGACAAAAAAAAAACTATATAGTATTGTTGCTTGTGACAATTTCAAACACTAATTATAATGAGTTTTATTTCAAAGTAAAAATAGAAAAGTGCATACGTCGTGTATGCATGAGATGTATTAAGGTGCTCAGTAGTGGCACCAAACTTTAAAAAAAATATAGGGCAGTTGAAATCAAAATTCAACAGCCACAATTATTATGTCCAGTTGCGTGTAGCGTAGGGGAAAAGTTTTGCTCAGGCTACACCTTAAATATGGATGGGTGGGTATTAATTGAAGAAAAATAAAATATTTTATGTGTGGGTTAAATCAATTTAAGCACTATAAACTATACAAATTGAACATTTCATAAATTGACGTTACTGTATATTCATTTATAATTTGTCATATTTTTTTTTTTTTTCATTGAACTTAAGCCCAGCGACTAAGGCAATTAGCTGTTGTAGGGTTATGAACTGTAGTAGGGGTAAGGTTGGTACGGTAGATTGTTTTTATGATTGTTAGGGTTGTTACGGTAGGTAGCAAACACGTGTATGTGTGGCAAGGATTTTAACTACTACGAACCCGGGTGGTCACCAATCCGGTAGCTATAGTTGTGGCCGTTACTTACTCCCAGTCGCATTCTGCGACTGGTAGCAGCCAACGCGTCATGCCAAGCCACTGTCATAATTAAATAAATAAATAATAATAAATTTTGTCTTCTGTTATTTTATCATTCCAATTTTAACACAATAAAATTCACATCAAGAAAGAAATAAAAAAAAAGTTTTTTATAAATGAAATTATGTAGATAATAAAATTAAACAGTACATAATTACTGTATCAATATTATAATTATACCATTGCTATAGGGAGACCAGAACACAGCAGCAAATTGCATTAAAAAAATTAAATGTACAATTTTATTGTATACAAATATAGTAGCAGCTAGAAACTGCAGTCTATTCTAATTTTTAATATCATTAAATGAATAACTATTCAATTCATTGTAAACGATAATTCAGAGATCATTTGGAGATAGCTATTATAACTCATAAGTATTAACTATTTAGTATACAATTATATTAGAAGAAAAAAAATCGTGAGAGGAACATCAATGCTATTATTAAAGTCTTATCGAAATATCGAATCATTATTAACAAAAAAATTCAAATAGGTAATTAGAACCCCGCGAATAAAAATAAAAATTCAAATAATGGAAATGTTATTTTTTTATAATAGTTTTTAACTAACAAATTTTTTAATCATTATAATCCGCTTCAAAAAACGGCCAGACACCTTAGATGGCAGATAATAAGTAGCATGTTTCGAAAAACACATTATGTATTATTATACTGAATTTCTTTGGATTTACGGTCTTTCTGGTTCTAATTATGAGTCTCGATGACAACCAATTGGCAATTACATCGAAGTGTATTATTACATATTATTATACTAGCTGATCCCCTGCACTTTGTTGCTCGTTAAAAATACCAACTACATGAGACTCGATTGTGATAATGCGAGCAATACCTATATTAGGTTGATACCGAGTTGCGGTCGAGATTATAACAGGTAAAAAAAAAAATCCGAGTTGCGGTCGGGATCAAAACAGGTAAAATATCAAAATAAGTAAAAATCCTAGTTGCGGTAAAAAAAATATGATTAATAATTATTATGTTTTAAATATTGACGAAGTTCCATATTATTATGCTAAATACAAAAATGAAACGGTCAAAATTTTGGCAACATATTCCATGCTCAATTGTGTTGCTAAAAAAGGATACTGATATAGGTACTAAATACTGCTTCACCGTTGGATCGTGAAATTATTGACGTGAAAATTGGATAAGAGCATCGGATAATCGATAACCGGATACTGACCGCAATTAAGACGTTAATTTTAGCTTCAATATTATTAAGACCGCAATTCGTCTATTGCGACCGCAACTCGGACAATACCCTATATTATGCCTACCTACTGTGGATTGAGGACCCCGTTTGATGAGTACTTTATATGAATAATATGTTTTATTTTTATTTTGATCGCGGACACGCTGATGATGAGCGGCTATAGGTTCAATTCAGTCACCTTGGTAGGCAATGTGCGAAAATTCAATTGTATGCATGCTTAATGCTTATACCTGATCTGCCCAATACCCACTCCAGGCAACCCAATAAACAAAAAAAGCACCATTTTCTACTAAATATATTTATATTTCTCCTATAACCAATAGTAAACAAATATTTCCTTCGTAAATCTTAAGATCCCTGTTTAAGCAACTCCCTGGGTTGGACATGTCGGGTCCAATTATTGTTAATCTAAACCACCCAGGGCGTCACCCAAACGCATACAAAAAAAATTCATTCAAATCGGTCTAGCCGTTTAGGAGGAGTTCAGTGACATTTATATTTAAGAAAAATGTTTAGTTGTGGTGTATTAAGGGTATAGACTACGAAAAATCAATGAAAATACTGATAATAATTACGTGTATATGTTACGGGCAAAGTGGAAAATTCGGGCAATGTATACAATGCCCGGGCATTGTACACAGTGGCCGGGCATTGTATACAATGTCCGAGGTATATTGGGCAATGTAAATTGTGAAGTATTTATATAAATAATCTGCATAATATATTTTGTTAGATGATCCTGATAAACTAATATGAACTTATATTCGCCATCTGATTGTGTTTGCATGTCGATCAAGTCAATTTGATAGCGAGAATTCATTTCAGAAGATATGATTGGTTTTACAACCAACCCTTTTTTAGTTGTACTTCCCTTCTTTTTATACGATTCACAATTATTTAAGTATAACATTATTACATCTCTAGTTATATTTTTGTACTTTTTATTAATCTCTTGTTCCATTCTATTTCTACCTCTATGTCCAATTTACAAATGAACTTCATGTATAATATCATATAACTGAACATTATGCACATAATATTTTATTGCATTACCTTTAAACACATTTAAAATTTAATTAATTTAAAAAAAATTGTAATACTCTTATATAAATAACCATATAAACGAGTATAATTAAATTAGTATATAATATCATTGATTAAGTAAAATAATATTATGCAGATTATTTGTATAAATAGTAAATACTTCACAATTTACATTGCCCAATATACCTCGGACATTGTATACAATGCCCGGTCACTGTGTACAATGCCCGGGCATTGTATACATTGCCCGAATTTTCCACTTTGCCCGTAACATATATAAAATATATTATTATTATATTGTTTTAAATACTTGGGGTAAATCTAAAGGTGCAGTTGCCAGGCGCATAGTGCAGGCAAAATAATAGCATAAAGAAATATATCATTTGTGACATTGATGCAGAAGACCGTAGACGACAGATGACAAATGTGTACACTCAGTCTTCACTCTTCAGCCCTACAGTATATTTAAATTTTAAAGAAAAATGTAGATCAGAAAGTTTTATTTCAGTAATTGACCAATTGGTAGTATCATTAACCGTAATAATAGCTGCTTACGAAACAATTTGCCAACGTTTTGGTTTTTTAAATCAGTTTAAAATCTTAGAAACTTATCATCTACAATATGCTGCAAATTATCTTGTTAGCATTTACCCCAATAATTTCGAATCTACGATTGGTAATGAATTGATACAGTTCAGTTAATTTATCAAAATATATAAAGAAACACGTAAAGATAATGAGAAATGGGAAATATGTTTATATAGAATTGTCGAAAAAAAAATTTGCAGTATACATTTCCTAATGTAGAAGTAGTGCTGCTTATATATTTAGTTTTGATAGTGTCCAACTTTATAGAGGGACGATCATTTTCAAAAATGAAGTCAATAAAAACCTACTACGATATTCGATGACACAAAGTCGACTATCAGGCCTTGGCGCCTTGCACCGTTAAGCATCGAAATTGACAGTTACTTAGATCATTGAATTTTTCACAAATTGTTGAAAAATTTTGCAACGACAAAATCTCTCAGTTATTATGTGATAATAATAATTATTATTTAAGTTCTGTAAATTTATTTTGACAATTTACAGTATATATTTTAATCCAATATATGTAATTTACTATCTTTATTTTTTTATCACGACAAATCATTGTTCATTCCTAACCAAATTCTGGTTATTTGGAATTTTGGTTATTAAATTTATGTAATCGAAAAAAATATCTACTTTTAAGGGTGGGCCCAGGGCCCCAACATTCCTAAATCCGGCTTTATATGAGTGGTACCTATTGATAAATGAATTAAAAACTAGACATCCAAAACGTCCAGTTGTACTACTTAAATCTGTAAATATTAAATATAGGTAGAAGGCCATAGGTATATAATTTCGGCAATATTGGAAACAACACTATCGACAAAAACTGTTCAGAAATACGTAGAATAAATTAAATTATTGTCTAATCGGCATTCGGCAAATGCCTACCTACGAATATGAAACAATAGAACGGTTATTGTTACAAATTACAATAACAACACTTGGGTCATTAGTGGGTGAGTGGGTCTGCACATTTGATCCACCTGCTGCTAGCCTACCATGTTGTTTCCATACCCTAGGAGAGATTGTATTTATTCGCCATAGCATTAATCTACCATAACTTAGTTTAGGTCGCATCCTAAAATCGCAACTTGTATTTATAGTCTAGATCCCAGTATTTTGTATCGTAACTAATTTATCGGGTAGAGACTTTCGTGTTGTCCTCACACTTGTAAGTCTTAACCAATCCTTGATTTGGAGGGGGATGTAGCAACCCTTTAAAAAACAAATATTTTAGTGTACCCCTTCTGATTAATATTCTTATCAAAAAGGAGTTTAAATATTCGGGTACTCAATTTTTTTTACGTGAAACATCTTAAGTGGTGGGTGAGACACTGAGACGGACTGTTGGCGTGGCGAGAGGTGACTCGAGAATGCGCTGAAAGAACGCTCAAAACATCTAATGCCCATTTAAAAAAAAAAAAAAAATTTCTTAAAAAAAAACTGAATATTTTTTTTCGAATTAGGTACCCGGGCCATGATATTTATTTCATTTACCTATTAAACGGTCCTTTCAATTTTCATGCATATTTTCTATACAAAATAATTTCGACGTTTCACATCTGTCAGACGTCCTTTGACGGCTCACTTTTTTCTATCCCTCCTTTTATTTTTTTCCATATTTAAGTACTGATTTTAACCAGAATTAAACAAACATCAAACGACGAACGTAAAACCAAACGAGGTCCAGAACTATTTTTTTATACGTTGGTGAAAGATCCCTTTGTAATTTATAGAGTCAGGTGTGGGGTCACCTGGGAGGAGTATTTTGGTATTTAAGTATCGAACCATTCGAACCCAAAATCAAGTATTCAGGGAGTAAAGTACCTAACTGGTAAGTTGACAAAGGGCACTAATGGCTTTTTTAAATAATAAATCCACCTCGGTTTATACCTTATACCTTGGTATAAGTATTATCATCAGCTGATTCCCTTCGTAAAATAGATTAAACATATCGGTTACGTCATAGTATTGATTATGATTAGTGATATAATAAACCTTAGTGTTTGAATAATTTAATTACTGATCAAAATTTTAATGGATAATCAATTAGCTTAGAGTTCGTTTATATTGTTTGATTTACTCTTTTTTTGTTTTTTAATTTTTATTACTCGCTAAGATGGTCCAAGAATACCAATCGCCGGTGCGAGTTTACAAGTATCCATTTGAAATCGTAATGGCTGTAAGTACAACAGTGCATTGCAGTACACAAACCTGCACAAGAATTATAATTTTTAGAAAAAATACTTAAAAATTGTAAATTTGTTATTGAAAATCATTATGTTTTAATAATTTTTGATGTATTGTATTTTATTTTACTGTAATTGTTAAGTTATCATAGTCATATACTCAGTCATATATTAGTGGCTTTAATATAAAAATAAAAACATTTTTTCGATATAGGCATACGAAAGACGATTTCCGACATCTCCGTTAATACCGGTCTTCGTTGGAAGTGAAGTAACAGCCGACGTCACAACAAATGATGGTTCAGTTAGAACCACTGAAAGAAGATGTAAACTCGTTGTAGAAGCTCCATATCTATTAAAAAAGGTTTGCTATACTTAAAATGTGCTAATTAATATTCATGTACGTGTAATAACATTTCTTTTTTAGATTATCGGCGTAGATTATGTATATTTTATTCAGAAAAATGTGCTAGATTTGAGGGAACGTTGTTTAAATATTGAAGCAACAAATGAGACATTTTCAACTCGTGTAAATGTATTAGAAAAATGTCGTTACTATGTAAGTCAAATATATCAATATTCAATGTTATTATTGGCATATTATTTACTGCATAAATATATCAATTTAATGTAACAAATTAAATCAATTATTTAATACTAATAGATTTAACATTGAGGATGCAGTGTAGGTTATATCAATAAAAATTTAATATGTTATGTAATATGTATTCTTTTAATCTGAATTATTGTTGGACCATTTTAGATTCTGAGCGGACCAATGAATATAATAGTTTAACAATTATCTTTTGTATACCTAAAAAAATGATTCAATGTTAAGGGTAGATTCTGGTAGAAAATTTGATTTGGTTATTACTTAAGGGTCAAAAGTTTTTAATTCCTACAACTTTTCAAAAATAATTGTGAAACTAAAATATAGATATTTACTTATCTAGTTTTTGACACAGTATTTTGTTTTTTTGTTGAAGGTTAGTTATGAAGGTTATTAATGCTGTTAATGAAAACCAACCATTTAATTGTTTTCCGTATAATTTTATATTAATAAAATTGTAATAAATTGTTTTCTAAATTAACTTTTAATGATGTATAATATTGTATTTGTTAAAATATTATTACGTTGTATAAAATAATATTTATTATTTTATTTTAAATAAAATGACACATTAAAAAAAGCTATTGAATAAACTATTATAAATAGCCCATTAGATAGGTTTGAAGTATAAAATAATTTAATATGCACACTGATTGTCACAAATCTTGATAAATGATAAATAGTATGTGAGTTTAACAGTTCTTTGTATTTAAATAATTTTTTATGCTTTTATCCTGTGGCTTTATTTTTTTAATGTTAGTATTTAAAATTTAAGTAACTGAAATGTCAAAAGTACAGGGATCAAAACCTTTTTAATTTTCCAGTTTTATGAACAGTTTATGAAAAATTTAGTTTTGGTTTGGATTTTCTGATTGGTTGTTAAAAATCCTAAGTTTAGCTTCTGTGAATATGTTTTTGAATTCTTCGACCTTGATTTGGGTTTGAGAGTTTTTAGTTTTGGTAGAAATAACAGTGTTGAACAATAAAAAAACAAGATATTAACTTGTTTTGAACCCTGTACAATTATGTAAATATTTTAAGATGCATTATTTAAAATTAAAATGTCATATTTACATTTAGTGATTAAAATAGTTATAAATAACACATGCATACTTCATTTTATTTGCATGTTTATCAGGTTCATCCAGAAAACTCAGAATGGACATGTTATGAACAGAGTGCACTATTAGATATAAAATATTTTTTGGGTTTTGAGTCAACCATGGAAAAACTTGGAATGAAACAATACATACAGAATATTTCCAAGGGTAAAGAAATAATAGAATTTTATGTTGATGAATTAAAAAAAGATGGAATAACTGATATTCCGCGTTGGATACCTACTGGAGGTGATCAATCTTGGTTAGTCATATTTCATTTATTTACTCACTTCATAGTTTTATTTTTCCATTACAATAAAAATAAAGATAAGTAAACCAATATTTTTAACTGAAATTACTTTAAAAAAATTACCTGACTTTAATTGCATGCTTAAATAAAAAATAATATATATATTTTTTAACGCTTTGGTTTTATTGAAATTTCTTCTATTATTTTATTTTGTAAAATATGAATGAAATATTTATTTTTTGTTATAAATTCAAGTTTACATTCAACTTTGTCTCACATAAGAATAACCCTTGGACACTGTTTTCTGCGATCAGGGACAGAAATGGATGTGGTTTAAACTTGCCAAGTTCCGCACTCTCAATTTTAACAACTTTTAAGATTAACACTGTAAAATGGTTTTTAAGTAGTGGGCGATAGTCAAAATTAAAACCAAGTTATCGTGGGGTGTGGTCTAAATCTGATGAAAATCAGTCACTGCCTGTGGATACTATTATATAAGATAGTATTTATAATATTGTAATTCAAATTTGTTTTTATAGTGACTTGAATAACCAAGAAGAAAGTCCAATTGGTTTGAGTAAAGATAGTCCAACTACTGCAGGTAAAGTATATAAATTCATGTTTCTCATTCTGACAGTCATATTTTCTCGTAAACCATATTCTGTTTTCAGTATCAATCGATAAGAACGTGGTGGCACAATGTTTGTGCTTGAGTGTTCAGAATTTAAACCCTACTCTGTTATTTTTTCATATAATTCTCAATGCATTTTCCTGAATGGTGTACTCCTTCCAGTTATGTACACCATAACTCAGGGCCAACTTGAGGGAGAAACCAATTCATCCCTATTTTTTAATATACTGTATTACAATACAATTTAAAATCTTTACTAGAAATTAATTACCTTTCTCTAAAAATGTTTTATTAGCTTACAGTTTTTAAAATATTTTCATTAAAATCACATCTTAAATATTAATTTCAAATTGTTATAAATTAACCAATTACACTGGAAAATGTTGCCGAGTCAACATGCTGCTTATAATACAATTATTCTCTTATATTATATTGACATAGTTTTTGAATATTAATGTTGTATACTTTTCAGTGAATTTGTAATTAATATTTCCCATAGTAATATTCTGAACACCATGATTTTGTTATAGGCTATAATAATTATTGTCTCAATAGTTTTTTGCTTGAGCATACATTGTTTGAAGAAAAATAACTTGACCCAAAAAATAAAATATACATATATATATATAATATATACTTATTTAAGTAAAAAGTGTTTGATTAGTATTTCTTTTGTTTGTTAAAATAATGATTATTTGCATTATTCTATTATATATATCACTTAATGTTTAGATACTTTAAAAATTGTATTATAAAAGAAGTTTTCTTTAAGGTTTGTATACTATGTTCTATGTATTTTTAGATTCCCAGTCTAAAATATGGTTAGAAGATGAGTATATTAAAAGATACATTGGTGAATTGACACCATTACAAGAATCAAAATTAGTGCAATTCAAGAAACAATTGTCTCAACTACAAAAGTCTAAGGTAATTTTTTTATATTAGTTTGTATATTAAGTACATCCTTATTAAAAAATACATGTTTCTTTCTATTAAAATGGAGTTTTAGCATTTGCTCAAAGCAAGGGTTTTGCTTTTTATTGGAATACATTTTGAAATTTTAATTGTCCATTAATTTACTTTTGATTGTTTTTAAAATTAATAAATGTTTATACATTTTAACTGTTTTATAAATAATTATAATGAAAAAGACTACTTCGTAGTTTAAAATGTTGACTATCTTTAAATATACAGTTAACATTTTAAGTAAATTGTTTATTATTTTTTACATGCAACAACAATTATTTAATCATTAATTATTGTGGTTAAATCGATATTTTAAAATTTATATTTGTATACTGTCCAGAAGTATGACCATAATTTGAGAGTAGTTTCTATTTTATAGAAGTTTTTTTATACAAACTCAATGAAGTGAGAACCATAAAAATACATATGCAGTCAATACGTTTAGCGTTAACAAACTTTATTTATTATAATTTATAACAGTTCTATTAATCTTAGAAATGTGTGTGGGTATTTGTTTAAAAATATAAGGAAAAAAAACTTCTATTTTAAAAATAATATTGTTTCAGTTACCAAGTGATACTACATTATTGCGGTTTTTACGAGCTACCGATTTCAATATTGAAAAAGCTAGAGAAAATTTATCCCAATCACTTATATGGCGAAAAAAACATAATATTGACAATATATTATCAGAGCATGAGTTTCCTGATGCTATCAAAAAATATTTTCCTTGTGGTTGGCATCGCCATGACAAAGGTAAAATGTAAATTAATTAAATATTTTAAGCTCAAGTAATTATTTTTAGCTCTTAATGCATAATTATGCTGTTTTAGATTCTAAGTAAAGCAATCAATGATCTTAGTTTTAAAAAGTGTTTTTTAGAGTTGTTTGTATGGTTAAAGAATTACTGTATGAGTTGAATAACCCTATAAATTATATGGGAATTGAACCTGGCTGCCAGCTTATTAAAACATTTTATAAACTTAAACTAAAAAACCAATAGATTTAACATAATTGATGATATTATTTAAAAAATAATTTACATACGATTTTTAGTAATTATTTGACCTAGGATATATAAATTAATACTATAAACCTATTTAATCAAATATAGTTTTTATTAAAATTTTGAACTATTTCATTGGCCAAATGATTTATATTCTAATGAATTTGATTATTTTTACAATCATTGACAATTATAGATTCTGAGTGGAGAGATAAATGCATTGGTTTCACAATAACTTGTTTTTTGTGGGTTATCACGTTTTGAAGTAATAAGTATGTTACAAATGTCAGTGTTAAGAATGATTCATAGAAAAAGGAACTAGTTCGTACTTGATAATTTAAGAATAAAAGTATGAAATTCGCACTACTTTTGTAATAATTGGGGAAAACTAAAAACAAAAATATGAATAAACTGGAATATTTATGTAACACTGAATTTTGAAAAAATAAAAATAAATCTTTTCTTATAAATCAAAAATAAATAAATATTTTTCCTGAATAATTTTCTTTTTGTAAGTCAAAAAAGTTTAAAATTTAATACATGGCTTCCCATACGTTGTTCTCACAGTAATTTAAAATTATAAAAAACATAGCCAAAGTATTTTTTTGTAAGAGTTTGATATTCAAATTTGACGAAACATGCCAAAACAAGAAATTTACTAGTTATTTTACAGTTAAAAATGCATACAGTTTTAAATAATTTTATTAACTAAGACATAAAGAATTAAGGTAAGATTACTCGTAAGTTTTTTTGACGGGTTTTATGCAAAACTTTATTTTAAATAAAAAAAGAGTTTAATTTTAATTTTTTCTTTTATATATATATATTATAGAAGGACGTCCATTATATATATTACGTTTAGGTCAAATGGATGTGAAAGGTCTTCTTAAATCAGTTGGTGAAGATTGTCTTCTTAAACAAGTAAACTATAATTTTATTTTGAATAACTAATAAAATATCTTTATTTATTGTTCGTCAGATATTGTATTTAATACAATTAAGTTCATACTTTTATGTTATTAATCATAGTGAACTAATAATTCTACTATTTAATTTAAGATTATGAATTCAACAATTAAAAATACTTTTTTTATTTCTTGACATCATTTGTGTTAACCTTATATTATTATTTTGTGTTTAGGCTATGCATGTATGTGAAGAAGGTTTAAAATTAACAAAAGAAGCAACTCATACATCTGGCAAACCAATAACAACTTGGGGTTTATTAGTTGATTTAGAAGGGTTAAATATGAGACATTTGTGGAGACCTGGTGTTGGAGCATTGCTAAGAATTATTGAAATTGTAGAGTCTAATTATCCAGAGACACTTGGGCAAGTCCTTATAATTCGTGCACCAAGAGTATTTCCAGTTTTGTGGACTTTAGTGAGCACATTTATCAGTAAGAAAATTATTTATTAACTCTTATTACATAATCCTTACTATTATAAGTTAATACTAATTAAAATTTTTTAGATGAGACAACGCGTCAAAAGTTCCTATTTTATGGTGGTAATGATTATCAATCATCTGGTGGTCTCAATGAATTTCTTACCGAAGATAATGTGCCTGATTTTCTAGGTGGCCCCTGTAAAGTATGTTGTTTTTAACTTTGAAGTAATGGAGTTTACGTTTATGATATAAATAAACCTTGTACTATCAAAAATTAGGTTAAAATTCCTGAAGGTGGTTTTGTGCCCAAAAATTTGTATCTAAAAGAAGGAGAGTTAGAAAAAGAAGCATGTACGATTACTGAAGATAGTATATATCAGTCTGTTACACTGACTAAAGGACAGGTAATTTACACTTGTATTTACTTATATATATCTAAAGTAGATTCACCTAGCATGGTCACCCCCATTTTTCTTTTAATAATAACCTTATACAAATTCTAATTTTTGGAATTTTTATGTATATTAACCATATTTTCAAATACTTAGATTATTAATGTAATTTAAGTAGTGTTCTGTTACATACAAATAGTTATATTAGTTTATGAATTATATAACTATATCTACTAAAGATAATAGTCCTCGGTAGACGGTAATAGATTTAAAGATATTGTGCTATGATGATTTGAAAATTATAGTAATTAATTAAAATTATATAATTTATAAAAATTATCAGAATATAATATTTCATAAGTATTTGAAATTAGTTTTTTATACGAAACCTGGGTCATTTATTTAAACTTGTGATCCTACCTTATATTCAATTTAAGTCTTTTATTTTTACGTGCTTAGCCTTACAAACTTCATATTACCGATGACCTGTATTATATATATGTACACTAAATTAAAGTATAAGTGATCTCCCTTGCTCTAACCTTGTTCATCATGATTTAATTTAATTTTTTATGCTGGCTTAATAAAAAAAATAACAATGTTTTTTTTTTTTAAGAAAATTTACAATCTATATACAATTTATATAATAAGTAAATATGATGAACAATATTACAAGACATGAAAATCTTGAGGAAAGGGAGTGTCCAGTGACACTACTTCCAATTTAAACTTAGGGGGGAGGTAACATATTAAGTATCACTAGGCATTTTTTAATAAATCACGCGGCCATTTGCGTTTGAGGCGACGAGAGGGGTTATCAGGAATTGTACAAGAAGAAAGTTTAGATATGAGTGGGTTTGGATGGTTAAAGGTATTTTTATGAAATTTGTTATAATGATAAGAGGCAAGTGTGGATATTGATGGTATGTTGAGATCATCATGATCTCAACAATGTTTTTTTATATTTTTAATTTGTATAATTATAATTCTTGTATTAGGTATAATATATTATAGTATTATTGTTTTTAATACACTTTATTAAGTATAATTATTTTAAATCTTACCTAAAAGTTTAGTAATAGGTCAAATCACTCTAATATCAAAACTGCTATTGAAACTAGTGAACTAAAATTTGCCATGCCATACATGTATAAGACAGGAACAACAAATGTGTAGGCAGTGTTCTCTGAAACATCAGGGTCCATAAATTAGTGTTTATGTTTATTTTTACCCTAAAACCGTAGTATATGTTTAGACATTTTGAATAATGTAGAAATAAGTGTAATGTCTTAATATTGATTATCCTAACAATTTTGGCTACTGGCTGCATACATATATACACTTGTAAATCAGATTCAATATAATATCTCTGATTAAACAAATAAAAACATCAATATAAATATTTAGATGAAGAAGTACTTGAATATTTTCCGTTATCAATCTATAAGTTAGCTAAAAGATCATCATGAAATATCAATAAAATAATAATAATGTAAGTGTCAAGGAACATTTTTTTACTTAGGTAAATTATCCATAACAAATACCAAAGTTTGTATTACCACTAAATACTGCTTAAATAGTAGAAGCAAATGTAAGTATTTGAAAATATAGTCCTTAGATTCACTTGTAAATTCAAAAATCATAATTTGAATTATCACATTACTAAAGAATAAAGGTGATGTGGCATCATGCTTGTGAATCATCCTGTATAGATATACATATTATTTTTTTCTACTATACAATACTCGTATATTCTATATATGTATTATTGTTTAAGGCTCACGAAGTTTTTATTGATGTTGAGGAATCTAGTTCAGTAATAACATGGGATTTTGATGTTATGAGACAAGATATTAATTTTAATGTATTAAGATTACTAATTGAAATTCAGCCATCAACTCTTCTCAGTTGCGCTAGAGGTATTTATAACTATATGTTATGATATAATAATTCATATGTATTTTATTTGTTTCATTGTTTAATGACCAGTTATTATTTTAAATAAATTTAAAAAAGTTGATTATTAATGATGTTTTAGGTAATCTAAATGTTATAGAAAAGGGATGGAAAGAAGGAGAACATTATGAAAAAGTGGAACAGACCATATTATGTCATGATGGTGAGAGCGTTCAAGGATCTCATCTTACCACTAAACGTGGAACATATGTATTACAATGGTACTGGTCGTCAGATAGCTTGAATATTAGCTCAGGACATCACACTAAAGCTAAAATTATGTATTATTATGAAATGCTGAAATCTGCTGATTATCGGTAATTATAAATTAAATATGGAGTGGGAAATATTATAACTAAAACAATGTATTTTATGTTAATTATATTATGTATACATTAATAACCAAATTATATGATATTTTTATGAATATCTTAACCTGGTTTGATTGAATTTAACTAATTACTTGATATTACTTATTAGTTATTAGTTAATAACATTAATTTTTTTGTTAATATTTCACAGGGGTTCAATGTCAAGTTTGATGTCAGCTAATAGTAAATTTTCTTCTCTTAGTAATAGATAATTAAATAACCCTGTATTTTGTTTAATATGCAATTTTAATCGTTATATCTATGTAATTAAGAGTTTAAGACCATACTTTAGAAAAATGATTCATTGAATGGGATATTTGGTGTGTACAAAATTAATGAATATCCTCTTACTGTCTTTTAGTTTTTGTAATTACCTAAGGTTTTTAAATTAAACTTTTTCATATTTATTAGTTTTTTAATTTTGAATTACATTCTTTGTTACATTTACCAAGTTGTTATGAGTTCATAAATTCAATTTTTAACCTGTAAATACTTGGGGGCAAAATTATAAATCATCAATATTTAGAAATATTCAAATACCCTTAATAATTAATTTTAAATATTAATTTAATTTTTCATAACACATAAAAATCTATTGGATTTATTAAGAGAAATTTGTTATTTTTAGCATGGTCCTATGGATGTTTTAATTGCCTAATATAATCGTTATGTTCGTATTTAACTATATAACTATTTGTTAATATCATCACATAGTATATATTAAGTTTAGATTTTGTTATTTTTTTAGTAACTTTTTTGGTATGTTATGATCTGATAATTATTTGAACATTTAATGTACTATCTTTATGTTTCCTAAAATATCAACTTTTTCAGTTGGCTGTTTTAGTTAATTTTTCTTCTATTTTGATTATTATTTGTTGATTTTGTTTTTATTTTATTTTATTTTTGTATCTGTGATCAAAACATGTTTTATCTGTTTAAATTTAATAAAAATAATAAATTATTTAGGTTATGTAATTATTGTACACCATAATTTAACTAAATACATTTTAGATAAAATAATGTTTTCACTTTAATGATGTAACTCATGTCAATTGAATTTTTATGTGTCTTGATGGTACAAAATTAATATATCTAATAATAATTTGTTATTGGATTGTATGTCAGCAGTAATGCAGTATTTGTGTTTATTTGATATATAAATAAAATGTGCTGTGTGAATGGTATCATGAATTTCCACAACTTACAATATTTTTAAGTCTTATGAGTAGTGACAAACATAAAGTAATTAATCCTTACAAATACTTTGAATTTAATAAATATACTAGCTCTCCGATAATATATCCATGTACTCAAATTAAAGCTACATATTTTATTTATTCATGACTAACTAATTATAGACGGTTTTTACTTATGTCCAATATCTTATTGTAATCTCAATTAAGATGTATGTTATCAACTATCATAATTTACTCCATATAAATTAATTTAATGTATACATGAAATATTTATTTCTTTATTTTAAAATAATAATAATTGTGTGCAAAAATTAAAACTATACATTTTTTCTACTTAAACTGATAAATTTCTAGCAAAGCTTTTATTTTAATTTATAAAATACCAGTGCTCAAGTAAAGATATTTCAATTACCTTTTTGAATAATTTATTAAAAACAGGTGTTTTTACCACAGTGTATAAATAGTGTGATAATTTATTTATGTTGTACACAACCGTTAAATGTAATACTTATTACCCAACTTTTAAAAATATAATAAATACAATGTAGAAAATATTATATAACCATTTGTCTATACTAAAAAAAATTTTAATTATTTTAAAAGTTAATTGTTATTTGTTAAGAGAACAACATTACCGCATGTGTTATCTCTGTCTTGCAAACATACAACATAACAAAAATTTAAATAGAACCACTCAAGCTGTAGTCCAAGCTAAGCAATCAAATTTTTACATTATAACCAAGGGAAAATTTACTGTACAACATAATTTTTATTTTTTCAATATCACAAGTACAGGAAAAATTCTTATTGTTTAAAAATTGATTATTTCAAACTTGAATAACTTTTTTGGCATTTGTGATATCGAAAAAAATAAAAACCATGTTGCACAGTAAATTTTCTCCTCTTTTTAGTATTAATTACACAATTTGGTTGCTTAGCTAGGACTGCAGCTTGAGTGGTTCTATTTTGCGCAAAAACAGTTTTTGCTGTGTTGTAAGTTTTTAAGACGAAGACAACACATGCGGGCGTGGTGTCCTCTTATGATTATATATTATCGTATAATATCTTCTTATTTGAAATACAATGTAAGTATAATGTTCTCTTTTATAAATTTTAAAAAATTCATAAATATTCATGCTGGTATGATCTCGTTGTAGTAGTAATTAAAATGGAGCATTCATCTTAAAATTATGAGTTATTTTGTGAGATAGAATAGATTTTGGAGAGTTGGTGTATGACAACTTAATAGCATCATATTGTAATACATTTATTTCAATCAATAATTTAATAGGTAATTATATTATATTTATTATTGTTTATATACATATATACAATGTATTATTATTATTATTGTTGTTAATACATATATCTTATGTTTTATTATTATTATTATTACCAACGACAAATAAATTATACTATTATAAATAGTTTTTGAAAAATACTAGTAATTTACTTAAGCTTATTTAAATAAAAATGTTAATATATATAAATGTATTTATTATAGTTTTATTATCATTAACGTCCATGTCAATAAATACTCTCAGATTTGCATTATTATCTATAAATTACTGTTGTTTGTATGTACTGTTAAACATGTGTATCAAAAATTTGAGGTGCCTGAAAAAATATTTTATTTTTATACCATAGTTTCTATTGAATATTTTAAATGGTTCGTGTAGTCAAATATTTGATATTTGAAGAGAATAGGAAGTTTAAAAGTATTTTTAAAAAAAGATATAAACCTATTACCTATATGTGCACTTCAAAATAATAAAATATCATTCCGACCTATGCTAATTAATTAATTTTCTGTAAAATTTACTTTTATTGATTTTATTTGATGTGAATAATGCTTAGTATAGCTTAGAATACACCCATTAACCAATAAAATATAAATATAATACATTAAATAAGTCCACATAAAGTATCTTTTTTAGCAAAACATTTCTCATACATTTTTCTTTGTTGAGTTCATACCACAAGAAACCAACAGTTATTGATAAATTTGACAATTAAGTACAAGGTTCCTCATAAGTTTTTATTAGTGCAAAATAAAAAAAAATAGCTGACCAGTAAATTCACAATATTTTTTATGTGCGTATATAGGTAATTAAAATGTTGGCAACATTTGTCAAATTCACGAATATATACAGATTATTATAAGTTAGGAATTCATAAAAATATTTCTTCTTATACCAATCTGCGATTTGAAAATGTATTGCATGATTGAAATTTCCTCATACGTTTCAACTGCTTTAAGCAAAAAAAAAGGTTAACGGAAAGTTAAACTAATTTTTTATAAACGTTTGACGTTCTAAATTGTTTGATATTTGATATTTGCTTATAAATATTAAAAAATTATTTTAATGTAATTTTGTTCTAATTCAAAAACAAATTACCGTAGATACTTGAATTTCACCAAATATTTATTTTATCTTTTTGTGTACATGATAAAATGTTCAAAATATTTTGACTTGTTTTGAGCTATTTATAGTCTATAAACATTTTTAATTTTATTTTTTTAGGTTTTTTCTATAAATGTTTCAAAATCCTTGAACATTTATACAAGTTTCCTCGTAAGTTTTTATACTGGCAGTTGAAAAAATATACTAAAGATATTTTGACATGGTTTGTGCAATGTATTTTAAACTTATTTTAGAGTAACCAATATAACTAGTATTTTATAGGGGTGTATAACATCAAAATGAGCTGTGTAACCAATATTAGCTCTTAGGTACCTTTTGTAAAAATTTAAAATTAAATGTTAGAATTTATATTAACATTATTATAAAATATAACAATAAATAATATACAACAGGGTCAGGGGCCCGGGCCCAGGATTTATTTGCAAAACGCGATAGAGAAACTTTAATTCCGATAATCTGGTAATCGAAAAGAATATATTACCTGTTCTATTATACCTAATATGAGAAGAATGGAGAGCATAACTTCTTGCTTAAAAAATAGACTGCGAAGATAGAACAGAAAATCATTCGAAAAATTCTGTTGATCCAACTATTGGGGTTCACACACAAACAATTAAATGTTCATGGGGAGTATTAAAAACTAAAACCCTTCAAAAAATGCATGGAATATCAACTGAAATGTTGCCACGTCATTTAATTAAGGTATGATACCTTATACTTTTAACAAATGTACATTATTTTAATTTTTTATATACTAGAATAGTAGATATTAATAAATAATAATACCTATATAACTTTACCCGTCAATAACTTCATTTCCAATGAAGTGTCAAGTGGCTCCTGTCTAACAACCTCTCAAAGTCAGGGCCTGATTAAGGTTTTTGCCGCCCATAGGCTGAAATAAATTTACCTCCTAATTTACATAGGTATTGATATTTTACTAATATCTCAACGTACTTTTTGGGTCATAGGTCATACCAAAAAAAAATTTGACGCCCTAGGCTTTAGCGGTAATACGGCCCTGCAGTCAAAAATGAGTGTTATAAGTTAAAATCTGTTTCATAATAATTGTTACATACTGTATAGTATACGTTGTTTTCGATGGTTAACTCAGATTGGGGTCCAAATTCCACATGTTCTATAAATGAACTAACAGACACTTTTTCAATTTTTGCTTTAATAGTTTAATCTGCATTTTTTTTCTAACGGATATGGTCTTTCCAGAAGAGATGAGACTTCGAGAGTTAAGATGCATTCCAATGTGTTTAGCCAAATTTTTTTGATAGGTACAAATGAAAATAAAGATTTTCAAGTGGTTACCGCTTTGTTATGTTCATTACCAACCTAACCTAACCTAACCTAACCTAACCTAACCTAACCTATGAACTTCATAGTACATTAGCCATTAGGCGTGTTGTGTATAGCAGCGTATACAGTATAGCGTGTCTAAGATTTATCAGGGGGGGGGGATATAAAGATTTTGCATTGTGTACAAAATGTTGTCTCCGAGGAGGGGGATATGATCCCCCACAGTATATATGACTCGTAAATTGGTCACTGTTGTGGATGTGTTAAATTTGAATTCAATGATATAATGTCATTGTATACGAATAACGATTCTGAGCCAAGATGGTCCTTATTATTATAGTAAATATATTTTATAATATATTTATATTGCCACTAGAGTAATTAATTGTACTACTAATAGTAATACTCAGTAAGCTGAACTTCTGAACTAATTTTGAATAATATACATTAAATGTTTGAAATACCTAAGAAAAATATTTTTAAATTACAAACAAATAAATGTAAACATTATCTTTTGACCTTTTTTTACATACCTATCTAATTTAGTCCAAATTTAAATACCCATGAAAAAAATTTAATCCGTCTCGGCCCTCGGGACCTGACAGACGTTAAACATCGTAATTTATTGTTCTCGAAATATTATTATAAACCTTTTCCCCGCTACTAACTCACAATACATGGGTTCACCAGAGATTTCAAAAATTATAAGCCTGTGTATTATTTATTTGCTGTTGACACCTCTCCCTCCCCCACTACCACAAAAGATTTTGAAGTAAAAAAATCAAAGCTATTTTACTGCCCAAAAAAGTGAATTACGGACAGAAAAAAAAATGTAAAAACATTATAAAATCAATACATTCATTGCTCCGATAAAAATCTGAAAATCGTTTTGTCATAGCTGCAGGTACAGAAAATATATAATAACTCATAAGTAATTACTCTATACGTACCTTTTT